AATGTTAACTTTTCATCTTCGAAAAAAACGAAGAGTTGGCATTTGTCAGGCACAGACATTATAAAATATGAAAAATAAAAAAGCTGCGCTGACAAATTACGTTTTATTTTCCGGAATTCAATAGAGATAAATTTGAACGGAATTGTTTTCGCTCTTTAGTTATTGGCTGGTGGAAAAAAACACACATTTAAAACAAATGTTAATAATAAATACAAAATTGTATGAAAAAACTATTAAATAAGAGTTAAATAGAAAGAATTCTTTCCTTTACAAAATCAAATTAGTATTTAGAATAAGATAACTTATGAACACAATATATTTATATTTATGTATCTAAATGCTATTACTTAATTATCGATAAAATATTGTCTTTTTAGCTATTGAAAGCGTTTAAATTCAGAACTGGGACTTCTTTCTCTGAGGGAAAAAAGGTATGAATGATAGCTTACTTAAGCTTTCACTATCAGGCAATACCAATTTACTTTCAAGCAGCAACTTTTAGTTAACATTTATCGCAACTCAATCAGCTCTGTTCTTTACTCTGCATCAAGTGCTTAGCTCGACCAGAATTGATTATGTTTCTTTAAGCAGAGCTGGTCTGAAACATCCGCTTTAAATACTCGCACACACACACACTCACAAAGTCAGAGCAGCTCGATGGGAGTGTAAGGCAAGCCAAGGTTGTTGCCACGCCCATGGTAGCAGTATATCGTCTCTAGCCCACCAGCACCTTTTTTATGCGTTTTCATTTGGCCAGCGTAGGAAATATCTTGCCCACGGGGCGTATTAAAATCAATTCATTTAATTTTGATCAAAGCGAAATAAATCTTTGCGCTTTTTGCTTAATTTCCTTCTCTTCGTTTGCTATTTGTGTTGCCACTGCCGCCAATGTTCGTGTTGTTGCTGTTGTTGTCGAGTAAAGCGAGCGAAATGAGGAAAATCCACAACAACGGCAGTGAGTAATTTGGCCTCAGTTCCATGGCTTACAACGCGGGACGAGTGGGAAGTTGTTGGCTCGTTGCTGGCTGTAAAACGCAGAGTAAGACAAAAAGCGCAAATAACAGAGAAATACCGTAAGCGAAATGAGAAATCATTAGTAAGTAAAAAGCTTTTACACACAAACGCACGCTCACTTAAATACACACACATACACTCACACACACACACACACACACACACAGAAGATAAAGACACACGAACTGAACGCCAGCGTGTAAAGTTTTCCTTTTCTTTTACTTATCGATGCCAGCTACGGCAACTGAATTAATTTTTCAATTCGCCAAACGAATTCATTGACTTTTTGTATTCGCCTGGCAGTCCTTTCCTTACACATACATAGTTTCACACACACTGGCAAGCTCACACACACACATACACACTCGCCATTTCGACAGTCACACACAGGCAGCACGTTCGCCAGGGTATTAAAATCCCTTAAACAGATTTCATTTCGAACGCTTTGCGGTCGATAAATGCATTTCACTTTAGTGGTTTTTACACCCACTCACTCGCACATACACGCTCAGACACACACACGCACACTCAGGCGAGCGCATCAAGTCACACGCATATGTGTGTCTGTAGTTATGTATTTTTTGCCATTGCATACTTTTTGGCTGCTGTTGCCATTTCGGTTTGCCCCTTGCTGTTCTCAACGCTTTTCCAATGATTTGCTGGCAAATTACGTTTAGGTGCTGTTCGGTGTTTCCCCTGCCCCAATTGACTTAGTATGTTTTTTTTTTTTTGAGCTGCTCCTGTTTTTCTTGTCCGCTTTTCGCGCAGTGCAGAGCACAAAATTTTCCAAATTCATTTCCAAATCAAACATGCATCTGTGTGTTAAGACTGTCATTCTGTTTGTGAACGTAAGTATGTACGTGTGTTCGCGTGCTGCTGTGTGTGTGAGACAAGTGTTGCCAACCAATTTAAAAGTTTTGCTGTCGCCGCCTCCAGCGGCAAAGCGAAAGTGAAGCACCAGCCTTCCCTTCAGTTGTTCACGCCGTTTCGCATGCTGTCTAAGAAACACAACCAAGTGCAGCGCGCAGAATGCGAGGCTATTGCGGATTACAGTAAACAACGACTAAGAAGGTCTGTCTTACCTTCTACAAAATAAACAAAATCAACCTTTCTTTTATGAAATAAATATTTATTGTCAATAAAACATTTTTAATATTATTAATATTAGAAATTCCTCGTATTATAATGTTCCTTCTGATACATTTATGTACTATATTTAATATGAAACTATTTTTAATGTTTAATGGAAAATACTGTGCTTGAAAAGTGAAAAAGCAAAAATAATTTCAAATATTGAATCCTGAAATTTAAAAAAGAATCTAATATTGTCATATTAATTATGATCTTAGTCATTAAAAGTGAAACCAAAATTATATAATAAAAATGAAAAATTGTTTTTGGATTACGGAACAGAAACTAAAATTGTTACAACAATTTTTATGTTTAATTGAAAAGCTTTCAATCTCAAATTCAATATTAAAATATTATTAAAGTAAATTGAAAGGGATTTTGAATTTAAGAACGACAACTAAAATGTATCTTGTCTCTATATTTTATTTTTACGTTTTTTATTTAGCCTTAAAATTGCGATTTAAATTTATCATTTAACAAAACTCAAGAGAGAACAAATTTGCACGTCGTATGAATACTTTGTGGATCATTAGATATTTTACTGTACGTTCTAGTTTTTGGAATTGTTGTTGTTTTTGTCGGTTAGTGTCTCTTTCTTTACTCAGCAACGGTGGCACTTGTTGGCTTGGCTTGGCTCCTGCTGCCATCTGCCACCTGCTACCTGCCACCTGCCACTACTTGCAGCAGCAACACTTCAAATCTTGCAGTTTGTTTTTGCCGCGTCGCATAGGTGTAACTGCTGTCTGACAGTGTTGGTCTTGGTGTGTGGGTGTATATGTGTGTCTGTATGTGTGTTTATATGCTTGCAAGTGCCGCTCGAAAGTTCATGCACCGTATACTGCGGTGCATATATGTATAAACTGTATGCATGTATCTGTGTTTGTATAAATTTAAATGGTCGTGTCTGTTTGCGCGGGTTGGCCACAGTTTCATTTTCGCAGCTGCTTGGCTCGGCTTGGCTGCTGTGACCTGTGCTTTGGGTGGAGGCAAGCAAATTTGAATTGGAAATGTGCAGCACGCTTAATTTTCAATTTGCAATCATTCGGACCCGAAGCTTGTGCAGTGCTAATCAATGCCAGTCGAGTTTTTGCAGTGCTGCTAATTAGCGCTGAAGTGTGGCTCATTGCAAAGTCAATTGTCGTCCGCTCAGGACGATGTGCGTTCCTGTGGCAAAAATAGATTTTGCCTGGTTTACAATCCCGCCAAAGCTCTATAATATCTGACCAGGCGTAGACAGACTCTTCACTTTTCTGTTTAGCTTTTTTTAGTTGCATTTCTTATGTGTTTTGTGTTGTCTAACAATTTTCTCCCAACTTTCAAGCTCATCAACAACGCCTTCGTAAAGGCAAACTTCCCAGACTCAAGTGTGGAAATTTTCTCGTTTTTGCCATAATTAAATTCATTTTCAAGTTGCTTTCGCCTCGCTTTTGGCTGAGCGAGACAAGCTTACTAATACACACAGGCTTTTCACTATTTTAACTATACATTTTCCATTTTTCATTTTCATTACAGTCTTAAGTCGACAGCACACCCCTGCAGGCCCCCCACACACCATTCCTCATGCCAGGCGTTGCCAACGTTTCATTTTCATGCAGCTTCCTGAGCCGTTGTTTCCGGTCTTGTGCCTGAGCTGTGTCTAGTTGTGTACTCGTATAGTTTTTGCCATTAGCAACCTCAGTCAGGACGTGGCGAGGGAACAGGAATTGGCCAAAGCAATTGAAGCCACCCTCACCTACTCTCTCTCTCTCTCTGTCTCTCTCTCTCTATCTCTGTCTCACTCTGTCTCTCTTCTCCAGCGCTTTGTTATCAAGTTTTGGTTTAAGTTGTTTTTAAGTTGTAAATCTCCTCGTTTTGTGCAATTTCCCCTGCCCAACGCTCGACACCAAAAATAATTCATCTCTAGGCTCGAGGCTTGAGCCTGCTCACTGCGAGTATTAAATTGTAAATTTGTGGTTGGGAATATGAAAATTGTAACTGATATTTATGCTTGTAATGCCAACGTTTGACATTTAGGCCCGTCTGCCATGCCGTATTCGGTATTTCGTATTTCGTATTCCGTATTCTGTATTCCGGACTGTGGCCTGTCCACAATAATTCATTTGAGAAATGCGTGTGCAATTTTTGTAATTTCCATGGCATGCCATATATACGAATATACGATATACAAATTTGCGCATTCGGATTACATTTCCACAAAAATACAACACAATAAGAACTGAAAGTGTCTGTTAAAATTATGACTTATTGGAATTTTCTCAGCTCAGTCTCAGCCTGTTCCAACTGCGTCTATGCCTGTGGCCCTGGCATGAAGTGTAATTGAATGTGTTGCTTGGTTCCCTCAACTTTCAAATCATTGCTCGGAGGTTGTCCTGGTTGCATACAAATTTCCTATAAATTACTTTTTATTACGGCATCGCTTGACGGGTATTCTAATTTTGTCACAGAACATGTAACAAATTGAAGCAGACACTTTTGATTTGAGCAAGTGGAGCGCATCTGTCTGTTTTTATTAAGTTTCCCAACTTCAATTCCCTTCTCTATAAAACTTGCAACAGCAAGTACTTTGGCGAGAAGTGTATCATAGTGTCATAGACACGACTGGTTGAGTTTAAGTTTTTATTTATTTTTTTTCGCAATTCCAATTGCAAATTAAATTATGCGTACAAGATTTAATATTTGACATTCAGAGTTATGTAAAGCAATTTGAGTTTTAACAATGCGAATTAAGCTAGGTTCTATTGTGTTGCGATTAAAAATTGTTGTTTCAGATACTTTTCAACACAATGTACTTATCTAAATAAGTTTGTAACAATCATGGCTTTCATTTATTTTTATTTATTTCACAAATAACTTACCTGGCTTGGAGTTGCTGCCAACGATCTGCTGTTGATGTTGCTGCTGTGCATTCGACTGTTGCTGCTGCAGCTGCTGTTGCTGCTGTTGCTGCTGCTGGGCATGTTGCTGCTGACCATTGTGCTGCAGATGGGCAGCTGTCACGGATTGCTGTTGCTGAGCGGCAGCCGCTGCTGCTGCAGCGGGATGTATGGCAAGCAGTTTCGTTTCTGGCGGCTTGTGGGGGCCCATCGTGATCTGCGGGGCCCCCATGGCTATAGTCGGGGCGGGCATCATTAGGGTCGACATGGCCAGCATAATTTGTGAGTGAATTTTGGTGGTTTGCTAGCTGCTGTTGTTGTGGCAATGCTTGTGGCCAATTGTTTTCTCGCTGTGCGCTTTGTTTCTATTGATTTGTTGACCTCGTCGCTGTGTCCTGTGTCCGTGTTCGTGTCCTTTGCTGCAGTAGCTGAACTCTGTGCCAAAGGTCGTGCGTTAGCCTTTGTCGCCGCCGCCTTCGTCTCACATATATGACTTGGACTCGCTCTAACTGGCTCCCGGCTTTGTTATATGGCTCTATGTGTATGTTTTAGTCTCTGTATGTGCGTGTATGTGTGTGTGGTTGTGTGTCCGTAAGTGTGTAAACTTATGAAATATGCTCGCCGCTCTGTGCAACTTTTCTCCGTATATTTTCACTTTTCGTACTGTGGCTTCGTCTTTGCCCCTGGAAGACCCCTTGCTTATGTACTCGATGCTGTGGGTGTTGTTTTTATTATTTTTATAATTTTTGCTCGCTTTTCTTTTACTTCTTGCTTATGTGTTTGTTCAACCGGAAATTCACGAACACGAGCGCACTTGGCTTGTAATATTTTTTGTTTTTTTTTTTCGGCTGTCCTTGCCGCCGTCTCCTTGTCTTTCGTTACGTTACATTCGACTGTGGATATGGGATATGGGCTTATATATTTGCCTGCTTGCCTGGCAGTAATCGCAAATTATTTTGCTCGTTGCTTATCGTTTTGCTATTGTTGTTGTTGTTATTTTTGTTGCTTTGTCTGCAGCAGCGGAAATTATAAATATTGCTGTCATATGTGTGCCAGACAGCCAAAGAGACGAGGACTACTTCAATTTCAATGTTTCGCATAACAAACAATAACAAAAAAAAATCATTATACAGCCGACAAGTCTCAGCTCAATGTCGCTTGTAAAGTTTCTAGCAGTAGCAAGAGCAACAACAACAACTGCGCACAGTTTGCAAATTATTTTGCTGGCTGCTGGCTCTGATGAGTTTGCAGTGAACTTTGGAAGTCACTGAATGTCAGTGACTGCAAACAAAAATAGAACGAAGCAGCAGCAAATAACATCAACAAACATCGCTTCAACTTTAATGAATGTCACCCAAGTTAGTAGCTTAAAAATGCGTGAAATTGTTTACAGTCTGTCTTAAAACTGGGAATCTCTCACTTATCTCTAGAAGAGTCGAAGGAAGTGCACTGAATACATTGCAGATCCTAGAGCCACAGATCGTATTGAAAATGAAAAATAAAATATAAATTGCTCAGTATTCAGTAGGTGCTTTGATATAAATATAACTTGAATAATTCACAGACAGGTTAAGACAAATGTCCTATCATATAATAATATCAATTATCATTACTGCTCTGATCGTTTCGAGTAACGCACGAATCAAGAGACGAGCGCAACGCACACACACTCTTTATATATCTATACGACTGTTCGACTTTACGACTATATCGTCGCTGGCTACTCCAAAGAACAGAATCAACTCAAAGCGTACGGTTCGGGTTCGTTCTAGACCGTTGGGCGACGCTTTTCTTACTGAACGCCAGCAGCACACGCATTGGCCAAATTGAAAAGCGCTGCCGCTGCTGCGACGACGACAATGACGACGACGACGACGACGACGACGATGACGACGACGACGACGACGACGACGACGAAGGCGGCGGCGCCGCTATCCTGGCCAGGATATGCCAGGCGGACAACCGCTGCTACCGCTGCCAGCGAACGATCCGCGTAGGCAGTGGATGCAACGACGGCACCGATGAGCACGACGACGATGAGGACGACAGCAGCGAGGACGACGGGATGCGTTTCCCTACATTTCTCTCTGACGAGGCGCCACGAGCTACGGCGGACTATATATGGACGAGAACGGAGACGGGAAAGAGGACGAGGATGAGGAACCGACGCTGCCAATTGCCAGAGTCCCGTTATTTGCATCGCCTAAGCGAGCGAGCCCCCGTGTAACGCGCTCGTTCATAAAATATTCACGAATTGCTCGCTCTCATTCTCACCAGTGCCGCCGCGAGCTGCGCTGCTCTTCTCTCCTCATCGTCAGTTCCTATTGCTGTCGTCGTCGTCGTTCTCGTTCTCGTTCGTGGCTGCCGTTGCGCTCCGAAGCCTTATACAGTATTCCGTTTCCATCTGTGTGTGTGTGTGTGTGTGTGTGTGTGTGTGTCACTCGTCTGTGCTACTTCGTCCTTTTTGCCACTCAAATTCCACTGTCCAAAATCGATTCGACCCACTGCGCCGAATCGCTGCCCAGTTGAGCGCAAAAACCACTTACACGTTGATATAAATTTGAAATCTTAAAATTCTTACTTATTAACAATATTATATTGTTGCATATTAATATTTTAAATTATTTTCAATAATTTACAATAATTACATACAATATTTATTATATTTATTAGATGAGTAATATTCATTTCGATTCGTTATATCCTTGATTTTCGTGGCACTTGCCTTTTGAGGCATCATCGAAAATTGTTTTCTGGCCAGACACAAGAATTTCCCTGTATATTTGTGTCCAAATATTACAAACTGTTATACTGCACATCCACAGGTAAACTACACTTAAGCATTTCAAAAAGATTTCAAGCAAAAGTTAACTGTGGAAAAATTCTTTGTAAAAATTTAATAAATTGTTTTAATCCAAACAAAGGGTCTATTTTAAAGGCATTGATGTGAATTTTAGATTGTCAGAAAATAATACAATAAATAATTAAAAGTAAATCTACTACAAAAACACAGGCTAAAGTCAACAATATAAAATGATAGATTAATAATCTAATCAGAATAAGTAAAAGTTCTCTAGTCGGGAGTACCCGAATATTTTGAATCCCACGTCGAGTTGGCTTTACAAGTATTCGATCTTCCTTCTACGTACACTAAAGCTCACATAAACATATACAAGCACACTGCGACTGTGCTTCTTCTTCCCATAGCTCCTCACTTGTGATAGTGATTTTTTTTTTTTGTAATTAGGCATCTAAACTTTTGTAACTAGTAAAGCCCAAGTATATACTTCCAAAAAGGTTTTTATAAGGAAACGGGAATAGGTGTTTGAAAAGTAAATTATTCTGTATGTGTAAGTATAAAACCTTGTCTAATTTGGTGGCTTCTAAGCCATGATACGATCAGTATGGATTCTTATCGTTTACTGACAAACTGGGCGATTTATCGATAGTTCGAAATAAATTCATACTGCGCTGGCACTTGGAAGACCTATGTATGTTCAAAATTTCAAGTATTTAGCTAAAGCTCCACTTCATCAGATGGGCAGATGGACGGAGGAGCTGACATTGCCAAATCAATTCGGCTGTTGATACAAAATTGTATTTTACATGAACCGAAAACTCGAACCCTTTACTGGAGTAGTTTAAGCCAGCAAGAGCCAACCAGCCCTGCATGGAAAGTTCGGCTTTTCAAAGCGTGTAGCTAATGCAGTTCATTTTCTGTCGAAGCTTGATTGGCAGAAATACCAAATGCTTAATAATTGACCTCTTGTTTAGTTTAATGACAGCGAATGTGAAATTCGAAGAATACATAGGCAAATGAAAGGCATTCAATTTTTGGCCAAATAAAAGTGCAGCTTACCGAATGCACCTGGGGGCGTTTGTGCTTAAGCTAATCAGAGCTGAGCGAGCTGTTGCAAAAATAGTAACATGGCAACCATAATCCTGCGAGTCAAAAAGTGAGCACCAGTCATTATCTGCATTTTGAGGTTATAATTAGTGAGAAGCAGGACCAGAGTGTGGACTTGTTAGGTAAACAGAACACAAAACGAACACCGCAATGACAGCCCTCACATTCTGTTATTGTTTTCGTTGTTATTGTTGTTGTCAGTGTGCTTTTGGCATTGGGGCAACGACGGTGGCGGCGGTAATGGGCGTTAAGGTAGCAAATTGCAGAAAGCATTGGTCGTCATCTAGTTGAGAAAAAGCTTTAGAATAAAAAAAGCAAAATTACATAATTGCATGCAATTTAGCATGCGACATTATCATTGTTCTGGTTAGCATAAGAATCAGAACACACACACGCACACATACACACACACAAGCACACACGCACACACAAGTGCGCTTGTTTGCTTGAAAATGTGCAAAACCAAACGGCAGGAGCTGCTTCTGGAGACTTGCTGAAAAGGGTGAAGCAGTCAGGAGTCCATTGGCTGCGTGTTGCATGTGTTTTAATGCAAGAGCGGTGACAGCAGCAGCAACGGCAACGGCAACAACAAAAACAATAACAACAAGTGTGCATAATAACAAAAGTGACGTAAACAATGAGAGCCATGCAAGCCCTCGCGAGGCAAAGACGAGCCAAGGGCCATTTTTCTTTGCAGCCCATAAGGACAGCTTCTTTGCATGTGTGTGCGTGTGCGCGCGTGCGTGTGTGCATGTGTGTGTGCCACGACAATTGCCCTTTGAATTTTTAAAATCACTTTAAATGAAAACAAAAAGTGAATTCCCTGCCGCCCTTCTCCGTCTTTTGTCTTTTGTTTCTTGCACTGCGCTTGTTAGGTAAATCAGCGTCAAATTGGACTCTGCAGCGGCCGCGTCAGACGCAGCAGCAGCAACGACTCCAACAACAACAACAACAATAATAATAACAAAAGCAGTCCTTACCACAGCGGGCGAGAGTGCTGGGTGAGGCTAAAGTTATAACGTGCTTAAGCGTCTTTAACCAAAATGAGTCTAAAAATATTTTCACATAATTAAGTGTAAGCGTGTGTGTGTGTGTATATGCATGGGTGGGACTTCTGTTTATTTGTGTGAAGACAAAACAATAGCGCATTGTTTATTATTCCTGTTGTTCTTGTGGCTGCGAGTTTCTGCTCGCATCTAAGCAGAAAATTAGGGCATTGTTTAAGCCAATTAGAGTATTAAGAGCAAATGTGGCTTATAAGTAATACTCGTTGAGTGCGAGACGACTCTGGGGAGGAAGGGAGATGGAGAATAGCTGTGCATAGTTCCCATTGATAGCATTCAATGATGGGTCAAGGATATTATGTTGAAGAAGCTTTAAATACCTTCAGTGAAGAGAATCAGAGTGCCTGACAAGAAGCGCTGGCCATTTGGAGTGCCTTACAGTAAACTCTCAAAGGATGGCAGTTAGTCTTGAACCTTGTACCTTTAAGTAGCCGGCAGAACACAGTTCACATACTTTATGCAGGCAGGTTGAGGCTGCGGGTCAATAAATAAAGCCGATCCTAATCTGCGTTCAATCAAGGAAGCACATAATCCAGACGGGCTGTCCAACATACATAACCAGTTGCAAGTGCCAAAGCGCCAAACAATCAATTGCGCCAAACGACTGGAAGACGGTCCCAAAAAGTATTTTTCAGTCAAAGACAAAAGTCGTTCCGCCCCCTCAAATGATGACAGCACAGTAGACCTGGTCCTAATGACGATGCTTTAAACAGAAACACCGCAGCACCTTTCGGGCGACAGGTTTAAGCGGCACCCGAGACAATTTCATCCATCGATGGCGCACAGCACGGTTGGTCGGTTATGTACCAGTTATATCCGG